CCAACCAAAAGTGTGTTAAAAAGTAATGAAATAAAAAATAAAAAAAATGTTCTTAAAAGTTCAATTTATTATTTATGCAAATAACTTTTTAAACGAAGAACGTTCCTCTCGAGCTTTCGTCTGCCATTTTGATCCCCGAAAAGCTAAAAATATCTCTTCAGTTAATGTTCAAACTCTTCTCCTGATGCTCCTGAGGTTAAAGCTTTTTTTTTTCATAGCATCTAAATAACACAAAGTTAAACTCTGTGTGAAAAATTAAAGTAAGCAATTAAACTAAAATGTATGACTAAAATGTACATTACACACACATATATATATATATACGTTAGGGTAATTAAAAAAACGTTTTTTAAAGTTCTGCACCTCAACCCTATTTTATTTAATAAAATAACACTAGATATAAAATTTAAAACAACATTTAAACCAAAGACAAGTTTATATTTTATTATCGAAAAAATTATATAAAAATAACTCTAAGAGTGAATTCCGAGAATACTACTAACAAAATACAACAAAATATTTTAATTTTTCTTTAATCACAGCACATATTTTAGAATTAAAGCGCTAAAAAGAAATTAAGAAATTGTCACCCTATAAAGCACTTTTTAAAATAAATGCTTCATTTAAAAATAGAAAACTTTCTAGTCAATAAAATATAATACCGTAGAAGTGGATGGGTCTCCATCCCATCAGTTGTCTAACTAATTGGTTTCGAAAAAAGTACGTCCATCAATTTAACTTGATAAATTTTGATGCATATTTGTGTCCTATTTGTGTCCTAATTGTTTCCTATTTGTGTCCTATTTACTTAAACTAACTAAAAGATTGTTTTAGAACATTTTGGAATTCGGTTACAAAAAGAAAAAGAATATTCAAATGAAAAATGTATATAATATCATCCTCTTCTAAAACTTCAGAAGCAGAGCCTTATTTTAAAAAATTGTTTATTTTTAAATGATCTGAAGTAGTCAAATTTTCAATAGATAAAAATGTTGACGGAGGAATATCACGGGGTTGGAGCAGGTTGCTTTTTTTTATTGTTTACAGCTTTCTTTTTTTTTTTAGTAACTGTGGAGAGTCAGTTTCGGAACTTAAATATACAAATTTGGGATAATATACGTTTCTATGAAATAAGGAAAGTAATCCAACATCATGATATGATGATCAACATCTAAATTACATATGCTCATTATCATGTATATCTTATCAACATTGCAATCATCATGATCATTACCTGGACTGTTCTGAAATCTGTATACTTTTAAATATATTAGGTCTTACCCTCTTTGTTTGGAAACAAGTCTGAAGAAACTTTTTCTAAATGTAATTTTTTTCTTGTTTAGTCATATGTAACTAAAAAAATCAAAATAGTAAAAATTGTTAAAAAAAAATACTTCAAAATAAAAAACAAAAAAAAAATTTATATACTATAGAAAAAATATGTTTGTAAAAATATACATAAAACAACTAACCAGAAGTATACAAAACACTTTTATCATAATCAATCTAATCATTTAAAGAAAAATATGGTGGGTTTTAAAGGAGCATGGCCATCCATAAATACCATTTGTTTTCTAACTAAAAAAAAATTCAAAATCAAAATCAAACAAATTAACAAAAGAAAAAAGAAACGAGAAAAGAAAAAGGAATGAAAAGAACAAAAACAAAGTTAAAAGAAAAAAAACATTCAAAAATGGAAAGTAGTTAAAAAGGAATTAAAATAAAATATAAAAATTCCTCCATTTTTGAAGAAAGAAAAAGGAATATTTTTAAAATTTTTTAATTTTGGAGTGACGGTTTGTGTTTGCTTGATATGATTTACTTTTTTGTATTAATATTATCATTTATTATGAAAACTCTATACTTTGAATAGTTTTTGTTTTATTTATTTATTGTTATTTTTTAATGAAGAAATTATTTTATTTTTATCGTTTTTATTAGGATTATTGATATTAAGATTATTATTTTTATTAAATTATTGTTACTTTTTTTTGCAGAAATTGTTTTAGCTCCATGGTAGGTTGTTACATTTTGTCAGTACATAACTGTTTGTAACTTTCCTGTCTGCACATTATATTCAATTGTTGTTTTAAAATTGATATTGGTTTATTATCATATAACTTTCTTATTATTCTTATAACTTTTAATTTATCATCATTATTATTATTATAATTTGTATTATCAATCTTTTTTCATGGTACTTAATTAAGATTAATTTTTAACTATTTGTAAATGATCTGTAATTGATTGTAAGATCTTTTATCGAAAAATATATTGACTGATTGATGTCCATTTTAGGTGAAAAACAGCCACTGAATTTTTATTCATTAATAATTTTAAAAATATGATAAAACTAATTTATTGTTATCATAGAAATAAGATTATATGTTAAATGTAGTAAAAAATTATATAAAAAATAGGAATTTTAGGCAGTAGCGTAGTTACAAAAAATAGACCTCTCCGTAGAATTTTAATTCCCTAAATGACTTCTCCCCCCCCCCCTCTCCTTTTTTTTTTGTTGTTATTAAAAGAAATAACTTGAAACACAATATAAGAAATAATAAAATAAATAATAAACACTTTTGTTATTAAGAACAAAAATAAACTATGTACAAACTTCAACAAACTATAGCAGGTGCAGCAAGACATTTTGAGAAAATTGTCATTTAAAATTCCAACTTTTTCTGAATTTAATGCTAAATATTTCTAACAGACTTGAATCATAAAGATAAGTAAAAAATTTAATTTTGTCAAAAATTACTAGAACACATATATATATAGGTAGTCTCATCAATAATACAAATACTTTTCACTAAACAAATTTTGTTGTTTAACATAAATATTGCCACATGTTGCTTTAAGATAAAGATTTGGTAAGTAAACATAGAAATAGATATATAATAAATATATTCATATCGAAATATATCATTTAAAACAACTGTTGAAATAGTCAATAAACTTTTTTATATCAAAATATGTAAAAGTTAGATTGCGCAACTAGTAAGTAGATCCAAGTTCTATGCACGTAATTTTTCAAGGGATTCTAAACATTTTATTAGTATCTGTAACATGCATACCAAAAAACATTATCTTCTATGCGAAAACCATTGCATTGAACCACAACCTTATTTAACATTGTTTTGTGTTCTTCTATTTTATCTGGCATGTTTGTGAGCCAATTTCTTACACATAGTGTGCCAACACTATGTATTACTCTGTTCAGTAAAATTGGAGAACACACTGGCTATCAATTTATTCACACTCCGCATTGTTCAACTATGGAGCAAATAATGCATCAGGTGTTATTCAGATTTACTAACTGCTTTCTCAACAAAAAATCTGACACTTGGTTTTGATACAACAATACAGGAGGGTGTTAATGTAAACGTTGTGTACTTTACAACAGAACTAGTATGCATCGTTGTAACAATAGATCAAATTCCTGGAGGTACAGCTTACGACTGACAGAGTTATATAGTAACTTCTACCAGCTACAACTCACTGATGTACACAGCGCTATCATTGGAGAAATAACTAACACGATGAGTGACAGTGTAGCAACAAATCATGCGACAGTTACTAAGTTAAACCTTGTTTGTCAGAAATCATTAAATGAACTAAACTGACACCTTCACCCCTTAGACACAATGATCAGTTTGTGCAAGTCTTCACTCAAAGCATTTGAGACCTCTAAAGATAAACTTTTATAAGTGACTGCATTGCAGCAAATATTGTTTTAAAGCTAAACAAACTTTGCAACAAGGATGCAAAAAGTACGTGTTTAATATTAATCCCACCTACTTTAACACAACGTAATTTTGTGAAATATGATATGCAGGGGAAGTGGGGGCATAACTGCATACAGAGGCACAACCTTTTTTAAACATTTTCATTTGAAAAATGTTATTTAATATGGTAAAAAACATACCACGCGCTAGTAAAACAGTTTACTTTCTTTTGCATAACTACTATAAATATGCCGGTTCTGGCTCATTTTCATTTTTAACCAAATTTTCAACCATATATTTAATTAAATATAGGGTTTATTTTCAAGCATATTGTGTATAAATATTACAACTAAGAAATTTTTTTAAATTTATATAAATTTAAAAAAATCAATTTTTAAAAAAATCTGTAGTCAATTTATTTTTGATTTTAGTGTTAAAGATATGTGTTAGTGTTAAAGATATGTGTTGTCAGCATTATTTCATCAAGTGAAAAACACTTTTGATATCAACATAACCTAATAAGCAAGCTATGAAACTGCATTCTTTCTAAACAATGTCCTCTGAGGTAGAACCGCATAGACGTAAAAAAAGGCACAACCACATACTTATGATATTTATCAAAATTAGCTAACTACGAATAACAACAATTACAATCGTCGCATTTAAATGCTTTTAAGTAAAAACTTGAATTGAAATAGCTTTGTTTTAAGATTTTGAAAATTAGATTTTGTATTTAAATATTTATATTTTATAAATGAGTTTTTGAATAAATTATATAGCTAAAAGTATATCGATTTAGAAAACTCAGATTGTAAGTACAAAGAATACCTACACAGTATGCAAACATACAACGAAATTAGCAAATGACTCTGAGCTGTGACAATTGTAAAAAAAATGTACCACGAAAAGTGTTTTCCAACGGTTTTTGTAAAGCCGTGGTTGTGCCTCAAAAACCTTTGGAAAACACTTTTCGTGGTTTCCAACACTTTTCGTGGTTTCCAGCAAAAAAAATAGTTTTTCCCCAAGAGGGGAAAAAAATAGTTTTTCCCCTCTTGGATAAAATCTTTTTTTTTTTCACCAAGTGTAATTTTTGTGTAATAACATTTTCAAAACCCGTTCAATTTTTTTTTTTAATTGCATCAATTTCAGTAAAAACTGCTAAAAAAGAACGTTTTGTTTTTTTGTTTATATAGCATTAGTCTAAACGTTATAAGGGTGGTTATGCCTCCACTTTCCTTAAATCAAAAATATTTTTTTATAAGCATATAATTGTTTCACATGCTCTTTATGCTCTTCAAAAATAATTACTTTATGTTACTTAAACGGTTTGTAGCATTTTTGGACCAACACAAGCTGCCCAGAGGACTGCTACCACGCTACAGATAGGACAAGCTACACATTTCACTACACAGAAAGACTTTTCTGTTTTCTGGCGTAGCTTTGTGTGGAGGTCTGAGATATAGTTTGCTCCAAGATTTTACATCTGAAACATATGAATCTTCTTTATGTTTGTTTCCATTCTTGTACACTTTCAGATCTCAAATTGATAGGAAACGGTGCAATATTAAATGAACAGTAAAACTAATAGTTGTGATATTTGCAGCAACATTTAGGGGATTATAGATTGTTAGAAACTAATATTATAGTATTTATAAATTTTTTGTTTCAGGTATCCGTGAGTTATGTGCCCAAGCTGTAATTGGAAAGCTACTGATTGGGACTTGGATGAAAAAAAAAAGCTTTAAATACCACGCTTTGTTTACTTTCTTCAAAACTTTGTGCTTGTAAAAATAATACAACTGCTTTACTCTCCAAAAAGCCTACTGAGGTTCAAAACAAATTAACATTATGGGCCGTTTCTAATGTCAGTAAAACTTGATTTGCAAATGCAGAATGTCATGAAGAAATGAATTCAAAACTAATAAAGCGTATTACTGAGAAAATTCAAAACGTAATAAGGTATGTGTTATTGTAATTCATAATATAATTAATAATGGTTGTGCTATGGCGATCCATATATTTATTTAAAAATCTATCATTTCTTTTAAGATATTCCCGGAGGATTACCAATATCTATCTTTAGATGTCAATGCTAGATTTGCTTTAAAAGTCGGCTATTTTCATAGCCACTATTCCGTTATTCACACTAATACATTAATAAACATATGGAAAACAATAAATTTAGTTTAAGTTTTATATTACAAAGTATATTATAAAACAAATAAATCTTTTATTTATTAGAGTCAGTGTAATATTCAATGTAAATCAATATACAAAGGATATTCTGCAGTGCTTCTTCTAAATACATGTCTACATCTCTCAAAATACCAACTAATATGAAATGTTTCCGCTAATTGTCAAAGTAATTAAACAATTTTTATTAAAGTAATTTTTAGTATGATGGCTTATGTCAAAAAATTATGAGGCCTGAGTAATAACAATGGTATGGTGGGAAAAAAAGGCCTTGTTTTCACTCAAAACTATTGCTATTACACAAATCACATCCTTTTCCGAATTTCTCGTTAAATCATATTTTTCGCTTGCAAAAAATAGATATAATTATAGAGGTTATTAATTTCTTTAACTCACTGTTTACCTTCTAGAAAGCTATGTAAATATATAATAATGCAACAAATGGACTACACGTTTTATTGTATAAGCCTATTTAATTAGTAAAGTGTAATATAATATGTATTATCTTTAAAAATAAATAAATAAATTTATGAAAATTATATTTATACAATAACATAAATCGTTTAAAAATTGATTTATGTTATTGTTATATATAATTTTTTTAATTTGTATTTATAAACGATATTTTTAATTATCGAATATTATTTTTTTCCTATTATAACTTGATTAAAAATATAACGGAGGTAAAGTAATGCGCAAACTAAACAACGAAGTTCTATTTTAAAACTAACGTTAGCCGAATGCTAATCTTTAAAGTTGGTTGCAGTTTTCTTAAGCATTACTTAAAATGAAATTTTGACACTTAAATGGGAATTGCTTATAGCAGAATCATCCGTTTTTTATGAAATTTTTACTATTGAAATACTGATTTAAAGCTCTTTACAATAATGTATAATATTTAAATAGTTAAATAGTTTAAAAAATGTGTACACCTATAAATTTTGCACACCTATAAAAATGAAAAAGAAAGTATAAGGAAAGCAAGCAAACAACAAAAATTAACAAACAAATAAAAACGACTGAAAACGACTTATTAAACAAATAAAGACAACTAAAATTGAACTTCTGAACAAATAAAAATAAAATAAAAGCGACCTACGAAGCAGTAAATAATCATCATCTAAAGCCTCTAAAAGAGATCAATAAACTATTTCAAAAAAACAAACTAAAGAGAAAATAAAAAACAAATGCTACCTGACATGATGAAAACTATAATTTTTAAAAATCCAAAAGGAATATCTAACTACGTTAGATATTCCTTTTATTGGTTCTATCTGATAAAAATAATACGACAATGTAATAATTAATGTAATAAATTATAATCCAAAATTTATAACAACTTCGATAAAATAAAAATCAAGGGTTAAACATATTAATGAGAAAGAAAAGAAATATTGGTAAATGTAATTTTTTTTAACTTTTAAAAATCTTCAACGATTATTTAAGCCTCTGGAAGAAAAACTCAATACACGGGTTTATGGTCCCAGTTCCTTTCCGTAAATTATCGCAAAATAGTTTAGTAAGATAAATATTTCGAGCTCAAGTTAGTGATAAATTTGTCTTGAAAAGATGTTAAGCGTTAATAAAATTTTATATCAAAGATTTTATATCAAAGTAATATCAGTATATCATATTCTGCTTCTCAATTTTTTTTTCAAACCTTCTCAAATTCTAGAAATGTTTACTCTTCTAAACAGTTTTGAGAATTTGCAAAACAGAACTGATACTATAAATCCGTGTATTGACTTATTTTATGAAAAAATTCAGTTGGCACATTGTACCACGGCGATATTTACCATAAACAAAAAGGCTGAGTTTCTGTATTTGTTTGCTTGCTCAACAAAGTGCAAAGAGACTTGAAGTATGTCCTGATAGTTGGAAACTTAGTGTTTAAGGACTTCACAAAAAGGCAAAATTCTGAACTTTTTTGAGCTACTTTTTTTCTTTCATTAGCGAAGTCAGTTCTGTATCAAAGTGCTTAGCGTGGATCAAACCAGTAATTTCATATATGTATATATATATATATATATATATATATATATATATATATATATATATATATATATATATATATATATATATATACGCATATATATATATATATATGTACATATATATATATGTAAATATATATATATATATATATATATATATATATATATATATATATATATATATATATATATATATATATATATATATATATATATATATATATATATATATATATATATATATATATATACAGGGTTAGCTAGCTCTTTGTGGCGGCCCGGGAAATAATATTTCTAGCGTCCCTCTATAAAATTCAATTTCAATCATAAAATATTTTTGAACTTAATAGCCAAAAGTTTTTAACAAACTGTATCAACCTGACAAGTAATTAAATTTAATATAAGGTGATTTAGGTGATATAGAATATTTGATTACAATTTTTTGATATCATAAATTAAAGTTTTAACTATTTTTCGTAACTTGGCTTTAAATGCCCTTACCAAACAAGACCAAGCTACCTTTAAGATATTTTTTAACATCTGGACATTTTATATTCGTTTTGTTTTGTTTATTTAGTTTAATACATTTACTTAAATAACACGTTTTAATATACGTGTTATGTACATATAAACAATGTGTTATTCAAATTATTCAATTTTTTTAAATTGTATATAAATGAGTTTAACATATAAAATTTTTGAAAATATTAAAGAATGTAAAGAGAAGTAACTTATGTTTTGAAAGATAGGTTTCTTTACTCATTCTTATAATAACGAAAACTTATTTTAACTTTTTAGATAAAAGCAAATGAAAGGTTAAACATTCTATTTATACCATAAAACTTTATATTGCAAATAAAAAAAGACTTAACTATGTCATCAAATAGTTGTAAAAAGGACAAAATACTTAAACAAGATTTATGTCAAAATGAAGCTGCCACAATCAATCAATTAAAATTTGCACAAGCAACATCAAGTTGTGATAACTACACTAATACCAAGGAGGATGATACTAAGTCAGATAGTGACTGCTCAGATCAAAGCGAAATAATTGACTTAGAAGAAGATGGGTCTATACCTTATGATTATATACATCAAAAGTTATGTTACAATGAACGAGAATTTAGAAAAGTGTTCTATGCAAAATATATTAAATACATAGAGAGTTTTAAGAAAAATAAAGATAAGAAGATTGTAAAAAAAAAAGCTGATTATATTAATACCTTGCGTAAAGGAGTTACAGGGCAGAATATAAAAGATTATTGTGATTCTGATCTAAGAGACCAAGGTTTGATAATGCTTCCTAATTTTGCTGTTGCTAGCTTAAGTTACATACCAAATGAGGCAGACGAAAAAAAGAAAGAAAAAAGAAAAAAGAGAAAAGGTCACACAAAAAACTTAAGGTTTTCTCCAACTGAAGGACACACGGAAGAACAAATATTAGATTATATAAATTCGAAAAAATTAAATAAAGAGAAGTACCAAAACGCTAAAAAAGTTGTTATAGATATCCACTCTAAATTAAGTTCCTGTATGAGATGTCAAGAAAAACTGAGGCAATTTGCAGGCAAAAATCATGAAAAAATAGAAATAAGACAAAGTTTTGATCTACTATTTACAACCAATGTTAATTACAAACCACTAAATATTTGTGGTGTAAAAGAGAAGGAATGTGACTTTGAACTATCCTATGAAAATTTACTCGAAAACGAAAATAGTTTCCTTGTTTCTGGCGGTGGGAGTAATAAAGTAAAAAAAATTATAAAAGAAGTTAAAAATTACTTAGCAAAGAAAGGTCTCAATGATAAAGACATTAATAAGTTAGGAACAGACTTAATTAATATGAGTGTTAGTGGCGATGGCAAACAGACAAAAAGAAACTCAAGCAATGATGGACGTAATACTTAACTTAGTAATGAAATTATTATTGATATTCCTGTGTTAAATAAAAGGAGGTTGTTAAACAATGCAGTAAGTTATTTGGTTTTGATTAAGTATTAAAATTTTATAATGGATAAGCTGCTAGTTTGCTAGACAAAGCAATTTTTTTTTTTGGTGTTGTTTTTCTGTTTTTGTTTTTTGTTAAATTTAAAAACTAGTTTAAATATACATTTATATATCCTTGGAACTCAAGATAATAACTAAGCTATAAATAACTTTAAATATATAAATAATTTTGTCTAGAAAATAATTAATTATTGTATAGCATTGAAAATCATTGGGTGCATTTTAATGGATTAAAAAACAAAAAGTATTTTGTTATTTGAATTTTTTTATTATGGAATTGTGGTTATTTTGAATAAATTTTTACCTATTTGCTAAAATTTACGAAATTTTAAAAAAGTATTTAGTTACATACGTAACAAAAATATATTTAGGGGAGAAGGGGGCAGCCTTGAAAGGGGGCAAATTTGAAAAAATGCATTTGTGAACAGCGCATCTTTTAAATTAAATATAGTTAATTATATTATGAAGACAATACTTATCCTCACATCTGTCACTTGAATATGTTGCCGTTTGATATAAAATGGAAAAACTAGACGATTTTTTTGTTTTCGAGTACAAATTTTAAATATTTGGATAAAAAGTTGTAAAACTTTCCTGACCATATTTTTAACAAGTGGTGAACTTAACGTTTTTTTTATATAGAAGATTTTATTTTATTTACAATGAAGCAAAAAATTTGATTTAAAAATGTTATTTTGTTTCCATAAGTAATCATTTACTCTCTAAGACGCCGTTGGGGCAATTTTGAAAAAAAAGAGCGGGGCACCTTTGAATCATTTCATTCATTGTTTCAACTCTATTGCTTCATTATTTACGGACTAAACTTTGGTTATTTAATGATAAAAATGGTTCGAAAATATAAAAAAAAGGGAGTGTCAAACGTTGGTTCCACTTTATGAGACTTTTTATTCACATAGTTTACTTGTACAAACTTCACACCATAGCTTTTACTTAGCTTTAGATCAAATGTTTTGCCTGTTGTTTTTTGCGCACGCGCTTTAGAATGTAAACAAAGCAACCCGTCCATACCATTAAAAAAAATTGAA